TTCTCATCTCACCAAGTCTCAGGACCATATTTATCTTCTGGTATTAGTATTACAAAATCTGCTTTGTTGACCACCTATCTTGTGGGGCTGGAAGCCTTCGGTATGGAAGGAGCCAGTGTCTACAACCCAGCAGAAAAGGGAAATTTGGTCAATGCAAAGCTGTAATCAGGGAGATCTAAAAAAGAGAGATTAATAACATGTCTCCTGGTCACTGAAAACTGAAAGACATTACAACTGCACAAGAAAGGCTTTAGATGTGTACTGTCTTCCTTTAGGGGAACACAGCTCATGCACATCTTAAAGTAAGGTATAATGTTTAACTCCATTTGCTGTCATTTATAATTTCTTCCAAAAGTGGATTATGCATTTTCCTACATTCTTAAAATGAAACATACTGGTTACCATTTAATCTCTCTTAATAAATCACAGTCATCCTTTTGATGTACAAGCTGTACAATCATGAATAAATGTCTGCAGGGGTTATTTGATGTGCAGAGTTGCCTGCCCTGCCATAGAATGGCTCCAGGCTGCTATGTTTTTTTTTTTTTTTTTAACTTCCCATATATTTTTTTCAAAATGGTTTATCTCTCTCCTCCCTTGTTGTCAAGCTGTCAGTCAGCTGTCACTTTTTACTGCTGTCAGTGAGACTGCCTTTATCACACCCCCAATTTGATGCTGCTAATCTGCTGTCAGCTGAAAAATCAGATAATCAAGACCTCCGAAATTGCATTTACAATAAGTGGTGGGCTGAGCACCGGATGAAGATTTTGAGATACAAGTTCTAGTTCCTGCTCTGCTTATATCTAGCTGTGTGATTGCCAAAAAACATATAACTTCTCTGGGCCTTGGCACCTTCATCCATAAAATAAGGGGAGTGTGTGTGTGTGTGTGTGTGTGTGTGTGTGTGTCAGAGACAGAGAGAGATCTCATCCAGACCTGAATCCTAAGTTTCTTTGGCTGTGAGAATACACATGAAACTTTTCTGTGACTTAATAGAATGCAGGGTGGATGCCACTGACCTTTTAATGGTCAAATTCAAGGACGCTTTTTAGTCATCACTTTACTTAACCTCACTGCTGTGAATTCACTAATGATTATCTCCTTAGAACTCTCTCCCCTTTGTTCCACAGGATAATTATTTCAGCGTTGACCTCCTGACTCTTACTTATTCTTCTCACTTCAATCTTGGGCTCTTCCTCCACCAACCCCTTAAGTGTCAAGAATGCCAAAGTGGCTTCAATGTAAAAAGGTCAGGACGATGATGAGGAACCCAGCAAAGGAGCCTGAGAAGCAGCAGTCTGTGTGAAAATCAGGGGACTATGTGTGCTAAGACAAGTGAAGAATGTGTCATGGTGTGTCAAATGCTGCTGCTATGATAAGTAAGATGCGGACTACGAACTGACCACAGGATTTAGAGACAGTGGTGACCCTGACTAAAACAATTTCAGTGGAATACTTTTCACTCAAAACAGGAGGAAGGAACAAGTATAAACAACTCTTTTAAGAGGTTTTGCTACTAAGAGAAGGAGAGAAATGAGGTAGTAGAAGGGGGAAGTGGAATAGGGAGAAAAAAAAGTTTAAGATGTAAGAAATAGTAATAGTTTTGTATGTTAATAGAAATAATTCAGACAAAAGAAAAATAAGAATAATTCAGAAGAAAGGAAAACTGATGATGCAGAATAGACCAGGAAAAACTGCCAGGACAATAGGTCTTCAGTATGTGGGATGGATGAGTTCTGGAAAAGTGGAGATGGGGCCTTACACAGAAGCGAGGTCAGTTCATCCCCAGTAACAGGTGAAAAGATGGAGAATATGCACCCAGAAGAAGCACATAATTGGGTGGACCTGGTAGTATCAATAAATAAAAGTTGTCTTCTGATTGCTTCTATTTCCTCAGTCATCAGCTGAGAATGAGGATACAAGATTTGGTACTGGAGTGTTCTTTAAAAAGTAGAAGGCATAATTATCTAGAAGAAGGGAAATGCTTGCCAGGTAGCTCAAAGGGCCCATCTGAATCTTAGGAGTCATACATTTAGAACATGCTAATAAGTATGACATGCTTTTCTCCAGTCATGTTTAGTCCATGATTATAGGAAGAAAGTGTATGAACACATAGATTTAAACAGACGAGGGTTTTTGCCAATCAAATATGAAACAAAAGGTGTAAAAGATTTGAGAGGATATGCAAGGGAGTAAACATAATGATGGAATAAGAAAGTAAAGCTGGACAAAGAAAGAGAAAATAGGACAAGAGTGAAATTAAGTTGGCTCAATCAATGGATGGTAGGGTCTGGTGAGGCCAAAGGATTGTTTGACTCAAGGTGATCAAGAAAATAAACAAAACCAATCTCCTTATTTATATTAGATTCAGCTTTTAGGAGAGTAGTTCTCTTTTCATGTGTCAATTATAGGATGGTAAGGGATGGAGGGAAGATAGTCCTCTATATTCAGATGCCAATAAATATGCTAGGTTATAAATTAATGGGGAGGTAATAAGATAAAATAACCTTTTATTGTGGGTCTACTGTATGCTAAGCACTATCCTAGGTACATGGTATACATTATTTCATTTAATCGCTGCATCATCCCTATGAGGTGGTTTAATCACAACCATTAACAAACCTAAGTGCAAGGTCATTCCACAGGTACAGATCACACAGCTAGTAAGTGGTGGTCAAAACTCAATACACGTATACGTGACTACGGCATCTAAGAGCTTTCCCATCCCAAAATATGCAATACAGATAATGAAATGTTTTCAAGGGAATACACTCTCTTGCTATTTATCTGGTCTTTGGGAGTGACGCAGGAGATGAGTGAGGAAGGCAAGAGGTAGCAGTAGGTGCCATGAATCCAATATTAGCGAAGCCACCGAAGTGACAGACATGCTCTGAGTTTTAACAGACAGAAACTCTAAAAATCTTCATTTATTTTGTTGGAAATATGGCTTTTCTCCCCTCTCTAATTAATATCCATTATATTATATAGCAAAATGATTAATAATTTAACTGTATCTTCTGCTTTGTTTTTAGTTAAATTCATTTTTTCCCATGACCAAATAATATTTGGATTGGGAGAAAGATACAAGCCTTCAAATATATTTTTTAATCACCTTGGTTATTTTGCTTTTGGAATTACTAAATACTTTTCAACATCTCAACAAAATAATACGGTTTTGAAACTTCAGGCTTTAGAATGATTGTCATTCATGCAAATAATCACTTACTTACACTATATGAGTTTGGGTTGCATAAAGCAAATTACCATTTGAAAATAATTCAAGTAACACTCTAGGCTAAGACCTTGCTTATGAATGTTATCTTGGCCACAATATTTCTTAACCTTTTTCTATTTAGCTAGATTCCTTTATGGTAATATCATCCAAATTAATAAACTATTCAACTGCCACAGGTATAGTAAACATAAGATGTTGCAGAAACGTATCGGATGTAAATGAATTTTAAAACATTTACTTAGAATTCTATGGCAGTAATAATTGAGAGGAGCTATAACCACCAACACACTTATAGATACACCTTTTGCCTATATGTGATGTTAAAAAACCTTAAAACATGTCAAAATATAAGGTTCATATTTTTTAAAATTCAGATATATAACTGCTCTAGTTAATCACAGGCAAAGTATAACTATTACAGTTTTCAAAAGTTGAAGTTCTCTCATCACACATAAGAAAACTGTATGCACAAATACATACAGATAATATACATAATTACATATATATTCTGAAAATTGCTTGTGATCATGGCTCCACTTAGCTTTATAGTTTTCAAAACAGCAAATAAATCATAAACTGTTTTTGACAAATGACCTGTAATGACAGGATGCTTGAATGGTAAGTAGAAATTGGAATCAGAAGTCATAAAGCCTAGATGTTAATCCAGTCTGTGACAATGACAAGGTGAATACAAGCCAATCTCTACTTCTCTGGGCCTCTGTTTTCTGTACTCTATAAAGAGTAAGCAAGATGGTCTAACTTAAATTTTATGACTCACTAGCTTGATTTTCTATGGGGCAGATTTTTCTTCGGTGAAATATTAACAAATAAGACACTCAAATAAATCAGCAATAGGGGTGTAGATGAGGACTACCATTTCTACAGCAAAATATGGGTGAAGTCAGTAGTGTAGAACATAGAAGTTAATGCTGACCTCTTGCATAGCATGTTTGGATATTAAATCATTTCCTGCCTTCATTGCAGGGATGAGGATGAAACAGCTGTTCCTGAACTCTTTTAAGAAAGCAGTCAGTAAAAAACAGCAGCGTCTCCCGCTAGTGTGAGTCCCACTGAAGTAAACTTTCTGTTCACAAGGGAGAAATATTCCTAGTGGTAGTAAAAACAGTTTTGCTAGGTTTAATCAAAAGTGAAAAGGAATTCCAGAATGTTCCCTTTGAGCCACATCATCCACTGCTAATTCAAGGTGGGCCCAGCAACAAGGGTAATTTAAAAAAAAGTCCTTAGTAACTAAGAAACAGAAATGGCAATTAGGTACATTTGTAAACAATACAGAAGACTTAACTCTTTATTAAGATAATATAAATAATTAAAAATAAAGAAAAAAATAAAAGAAAATAGTATGGGAAATGAATTAATCCAAGCAGTGAGATTTAACATTGACTTATCTAGACCAGTTATTATATATATAAATCAAAGGACATAAGCTGAATGCAAAGGTTGAGAAATATGCTTGACAATGACTTCTGTAACAAAAAAAATAAAGAAACAAAACACCAGGCTGTTTTGACAAACAAATAAATAAAAGGAAAGAAAGGAAGGACTCAGTATCTGAACTATTTAGTGATGGGTTAGACACATGATGATTTAAAATCTTTGTAAATCACAGCATGGTAAGATAGAACTAAATTCTCTAATTAACCATACTTAGGCTGAAAAGTTAAAACTGGCATGAAGAACATCAATTTCTATACACTTAAGGAATAATTTATGACACAATATTGAGAACAGAGTCGAACATACTGACCTGCTCACATCAGGAAACCTGATGGGAAAGTAAATAACTTGGCACTTGGGTCTGATGATGCTTTCCAGATCCTTGGGTCTGTGATCAGGAATCAGCTTCATAAATTTTCCAATGGAAGTGAGAAATGATTCCATATTAAAAACTGAGTTGAATACAACCACATCAGCCACCAGGCTGTTAAGGTAAAAGACAAATGCAAATGATGAGCCCAGACTCATTCAGAGTAATTTTTATCAACCTAAGACCTCTATGGATTAATCAGAGTTTTTACTGCACCTTAGGTTTGCAAAGAACTCTTCATTTCACATCAGTATCTACCAAAATGTCTCTAAGAGCTAAGGTAGTTTCACTACTGTTATATCACAGGGAGTTGATTGGTGGCATCAGACTGGAAAGGCAATGGGGAAATGGAATGATTTAATGGGATTGCATGAGACTCCAAACCAAAGCATATTTTTCCACAATTCCAGAAACTTTCTATATTATCAACAACATTAAGTACAGCAATTCCTTTTTCTTCATGGCCCAACTACCCATGTTGAATTTCTATGTCAGTGATGTGCATCGTTTTACACCATACTACCGAGAACAGAACATCTGTCACACTTCTCACTAACTTCAAGGAGACTAATTCAGACAAAACTGTTTTCATACTAGGGCATGATACCTTCAGCACTATTTGGTTAAAGTCTACTTCTTGCGTTAGCCTTTACTTCAAGAAACTGTGTTAAGTTTTTGAAATTTCTGGGACTACACAGAAAGGATTATGGTATCCCAAAATAATTTGTTTCACTATCATATTATATTATATTGGGCTAGCTAGAGAAATAGAAGAAATTGGTAGAAATGGATCCAGAAATCCAGATCACTAGGTCCTAACTGATTACATAAAGGTACATATAAATTATAAAGCACCGCAACACCATGGACCTTTGAATTCAACAAAATAAATGTAATAATACCAGTCCGCAACAACAATGGTTCAAACTTAAGATTTTTTTAACTTCACAATGGTGAAAATGTAATACACATTCAATTAAAACCATACTTCGAAAACTGAATTTTTATCTTGTCCTGGGCTAATGGTATGTGCACAATATTCTCTCACGATGCTGGGCAGCAGCAGTGAGGTACAAATCTCAGTGAGCCACATGATCACAAGGGTAAACAACCAATACTCTACAGTGGCCTGTGCTGCCAGATGATTTTGCCCAATTGTAGGCTAATATAAGTATTCTGAATATGTTGAAGGTAAGTTAGGCCAAGCTATGATGTTCGATAGGCTAGTTGTATTAAATGCATTTCAACTTATAATATTCTCAACTCACAATAATGGATTTACCAGGCTGTAATCCTATCCTAAGTTGATAAGCATCTGTATACAACATTAAAGGGATAAAGCAATTGGTTTTATTCCACCCTAAAAATGATAGATCAATACTACTGGAAAGAAGACACGTTATGTCCACAGGACTGCAGAACACCACAGAATAAGTAGAGCTTATAGAATAGGAATGCCATAGTCAATTGTCAGTTTCGTTTAAGTCATATTTGCTGAGACAGCCAAATTTACTATTACAACATTAATATATAGCAGAATAAAAAATGAACAAAAAGAGTGTTGGCCTGCTACTCCCATGCCCCCCCCCGAAAAAAAACTGATTTTCCATACAAGTATTGTTTATCAGTTGCTACCTAGTGCAAATTTGGGGGGTGCGGGTGATTACAACATGAATAATACAAAAGAATGTCACAGAAGTGCTGACACAACACTAAGCAATAAGGAAGCCAAGATAATAATATACCAAAAGTTGAAGGATGTTTTACAGCTAGTCTGTTTTCACCATATGTCACATATTGTAATAGCGACCTACAGGTCATGATATATAGTTGTGACATGTGTTCATAAGTCAGAGGGTTAGTGAAACCACTGTTTAAGGTGAGTACTTATGTCAGTCATCTTTGAAGTCCTTAACTGCCACACAGTCAAGAAAGAAGTCTGACAGTGCCAAAAAAGCAGAAGTCAGCAAGAAAACTGAAGAAACATGTGAGGAAGCAGGAGTCATACTTTTCAAAGAGAATCTGAACAGGACTGCCTTTTGACACTCTTATTTTTCCTCTGGACAACTGTGAACCATTTTTTTCCCATTAAGAAGCCAACTGATGATGAAGTCCACTTCTCTTTCTCCAAGCTTGTCTGTAAGTTTACCCTCTTGAGAAAAGCAATGCTGAAAAATCATGTACAAAACTTTTATAGTCTCATTGCCTATGAGCAAAAACAATGTTTTGTGAAAATGAGGGGGAATCGAGAGCTGAACTGTTTTAGACAGCTTCCCTCAAAGGGCATGTGACCCAACAACTTAACATTCTTAAAAATCCAGTCTATGCTAAATTAAAGATCCAAGATAGTTTACAGAAATATCCTTTTTGGTACATTTCCTCCCTGATATGAGTGGATGTAACTTCCATTAACTTTAAAGCCACCCATAAAGGGAAAAATAGACTTAGTTTTTTTCCCAGTGATTTCTCAGGGGTAATAAACACACTATCTGAGGAAAAGAATGATGCTAATTCAAGAAATCAAAAGAATATTACAAATGTTTTCCATATTGATAAAGCACAAAATGATTTTATTTTCATTTTTAAAACATATTTTCCTTCTCTGCTTCAATATAAAGTATTTTAATTTTATTATGAAATTTTAAAACGGTTGCTTTTTTTTATGAGACATTTGACGTGAAGCAGTTCCACTCTATTTTGATAGCACTGCTACTTCACAATTGAAGCAGCTTGTAAAAATGATTGTACGAAAACATTCACAAAATACACACAACACAGAATTATTACTATATAGCGTTTTTCTATGTCAACTAAACTATGAAACATTCTTGCAAGAGTTGGGGGTCTGTGTAAACACATCATCAAACCCAGCTGCTAATAGCTGTTAATAAAGATGAATAAAATGTACAAAATCACTGACAAACAGATTCCGTTTGACTGTTGCAGTTATGTGAATAGGATCCAATAGCAAAGCCATTTCAGAATTGTTATTAACTTCTTTCATTAACTAAGCTTCAGGAGATACACTTTGTCGAAGAAACAATAGAGAAGGACCATCACCTTTAAAATGTCATGGTATTTTAAGGCTGTGTCATTTCAGAAGGCTCAATGAGGGAAAAAAGAAAGCACTGCCTAAAGATTCATTTTCCATACTCGACTCTGTCTTACAATAAAATAAAAAGGCGGGGGAGGCAAAACCCCAAGTTGCTCCATTATGCTTTAATTTTTATTTTTCTGTAAAACTCTATTTTGATTTTAGCTGAATACAGTGATCATGATTAGTAAGTAAGAGTTGACTAACTGCACTTTCTAAATGCCTTAAGCAATAGATTATGAAATCAAGGGTTGAAGGTCCCTGCCAACCTTTTAATTCTATTTTGAATGTTGTGAAAAATAGATAATTAGCTCAACATATAATTAGATTGTTACATATATGTATTTTTATAAAATGATTAGTGAACTTACATATACTGCAGAAGGAAGAATTGTTTAAATATCTGTACCTACCTTATTGTGTTTTTTAAAAAGGTGTATGGTAGTAGGTCTCCAGATTTAAAATGTAACCACCTACAAAGAAAAAGGTAGCAAAGGGCCAAATACAATGATACAATGTATACCTACCATGAAAGAATTTGGTTGTATCCATACTGGAAATCCCTCTCCTGACATTTCTTGACAGGATATATCAACTGGTTCTCGTGAAAATACAGAATCGTTTTCAGTTTCCCAAGGTCAGGCCGAAGGGCAGCCAGTTCGGTCAGGTTAAGCACTGAACTTGCAAAGAGGGTCCTAGGAAACAAGAAAATTGGGGTTTACTGTCCCAAGTATGTTTGAAGGGGTCACGCTTTGCTCTTCTCTCCTCTTTCCTCTTCCCATCCCAAGAAAAACACATCCCCTACAGGGACACATCAATAGTTGAGCCTTAATACCATGTAGCAGCATTCTAAGTTTTGATCTCTTAAAAAGCAGCTGCTTAGAACTATAAAGTCCCCGAATCTCACTGGTCTTCTCAGTGCAGTTACTGAGAAATGTTTAAAAAAAAAAAAAAAAAAAAAAAAAAAAAAAAAGCAGGATGGATTTTATTGAAAAAGGCAAGAAAAGCTCTATCTGAAGGACAAATGGAACAAAGATAAGGCTGACTGGGGAATACTTTGCTTGCCAGTTTCATTACACTTTCCTTCTTTATGCAACCAACTACTGAAATTCAATGTATGAGCAGGAATGGCACATGTTCATGTTATGACATAAACCCTTTTGATTTATGCAATAGGCTTATCTAGTATGGTCTTTTTCTCTTGGCATGTTTTCTTACCCTCCCCTCACTTGTAAAGCATCTTACAATACTTGTATTTTTAAAAACATCTTTTCTTCTCCATTACTGGACTGCTAATGGTACCAGATGCATGATCTGTAAAATCCCTTAATAAAGCACAAATATAAAAATTTGATGAAAGGCTGATTCCTTATCTTTAGGGAAAAAGGGAAACTGAAAGCTTGCCTATCCATGTTTATAAATGAAAAAAAGTGTCCATTTACTCTCTCATTCCACATATATTTACTAAATGCCTACTATGTGCCAGGGTCTAACCAGGAAGAACAGAAAAGATGAACAAGACAGCTCAGCAGGATAAATGCTGCCTGTAATACAGACATACACAAAACATTAGAGAAACAAACAGAAAGCAATTCTAATTGTCTGGGACAACCTGGAAATGTTTCCCTAATGAGGTACCTATTGCATATGGACACAAAAGAGGGACAAAGTACAGGTCTTAAGCAGTTGAGGACATTTAGATGGCACAATTTTGATAGAATGCCACCTTTATAACATAATGTAACATAATTTGACCTTTATAGCTTTAATTCCCATTCTAAAAAATCAGGTTCAAGAAGGTTAAGAGTTTTTTCTAGGATCACACTGGTAGAAAGTGGCAAAGCAGAGAGACTGCTGGTCTTCTAAGAGCTCAAACTGCTTTTCATTACACCACAGATACGAATTGGTTGCGGACCACTTACATTGCAAGTGCTTTTTTCTGTACTTAATAAATACAAAATATCATCCTTGTTATTACCATGATTACAACTACTATAAATCCTCCCTTGCTGACAGGCCAAATGGCTAACTTCAGGTGTTTATATGATCTGCTGCACTAGCCTTTCACATAAGAAGAGTGATTACATAATAAGTACATATATCACAAGTAGGAATTCAAGTGTCTTCTTCATGGGCTAAAAGAGGCACGTAAGACCAAAAGCCAGCAATCCCTCTTCAAACCTACATAGCTATATTAATGTTATAATTTATCTCTTTAAGGGAAAAAAAATCTTACCAAGGAGATGCATTTATTTTTTTAAACTTGTCTGTCTATACCCAAATAAAAAAAAAATTATAGCCAAACAATGCCCTATTTTGTCCAAACATATTCCCCCTACCACTATCACATATAAGCCTCTCTAAAACTTATATTGAAAATTCTGAAACATGAAGATATTTGCTTACCTAAAAATCTCATCTTCAGCAGACAAAGCAACAAAATATTAATTTCAAACAATACTTTCCTTAAAAGGGAATACATGGCAACTTGTAGGTCTAGTTACGGAGTAATCCTTCCTCCTCTCCTATTCTTTCTTACTATCCCCATCCCTGACCATACATATTACTGGAAGCAATGAAGCCCATTCTTAATCATTATCACCTGGGCAAGCACAATTTTTTTTTTTTCACACACAAGGCAGAAAAATGCATTAAAAGAACCCTTCATATGAGTTATTAATTACAAAAATATACCTTTTATGATGGGGAAATCTGGTAGAAATCAATTTAACCAAGTGATCAAACTTTCTATGACCAATAATGGGACAAAGTGATATCCTGTATTTCTAAATGTGATACATTGAGAAAGATACAAATCATCAGTGTAGTATTCCTGCCAAAAATGCCTAATCTGAATTTGGTAAGGAATAACCAGACAAATATTCTGCAAAATAATTCACTGGATCTCTAAAAATGCCATATCATAAAAGAAAAAAATCTAGATTAAAGGAAATAAAGACACCCAAAACAAAATCCAGTAAGTGATCCTTCACTGGATACTGGAAGGGGAAAGCACACCTAGTAAGGACATTATTAGGACAATAGGAAAAATCTGAATATGGGCTGAATATAAGACTGCAAGTTTTTGTCAATCTTTAATTTATTAAATACAATAATTTTATTATACTTATGTAGGAGAATAATCTTATTCTTAGGAGATTCAAGTCAAATTATTTAGATGTGAAATGCCATGATGTCTGCAGTTAATTATTAAATAGTTCAGCCAAAATGCTACTAATAATAAATATTATTATGTATATATTTACAGAGAGAGAAAAATTAAAAATGTGCAAACACATTAACAATTGATTAATCTATGTGAACAGGTGTGTAGTAATTCATAGCTTTAGGGGAAGGGGAGAGTCTAATAAAAAGATTTCATGGAGCAAGACGTTGTCCTACTGCAAATTTTGGGTAAGTTATACAGTTATAAAACTACACATTTGAAGTAATGGGCATTAAATGGCAGTAAGTAGAAGAAAAAAGTTCTATATTCCATAAATAAACCCATCATATCTGTATTTCTAGCCATATTCCAACTGTTACTTTCTACATGAGGATTACCCTCAGGGTGGATTATCTATAGCTAATGTTTAACCGAGAGGAGCCCTTCACTCTATTTCTACCACATGTCCCCCTACCCACCAGCTTATCCATAACCAAAGAATCCAACCAGTCTTCCAAAGAAAACCTTCCAAATAAAAGAAGGCAATATATTCATATGAGAAATAACAATAATTTTTTTTTTTTTTTTTTTTTGAGACGGAGTCTCGCTCAGTTGCCCAGGCTGGAGTGCAGTGGCACCATCTCGGCTCCCTGCAAGCTCCACCTCCCGGGTTCACGCCATTCTCCTGCCTCAGCCTCCCGAGTAGCTGGGACTAAGGCACCCGCCACCACGCCCAGCTAATTTTTTGTATTTTTAGTAGAGACAGGGTTTCACAATGTTAGCCAGGATGATCTCGATCTCCTGACCTCGTGATCGGCCCGCCTCGGCCTCCAAAAGTGCCGGGATTACAGGCGTGAGCCATCGCGCCCGGCAAACAACAATAATTTTCATAATAATCACGATTTGAGACTGCCTATGCCAACACTTCCTTCAGTTTGTTTAATCATTAAAAGAAAATTCACTCTATTTGTATAACTAATCTTGAAATAACCTTCACTAGTTTTAAATAGTGGAAATTATCTCTATCATTTCTCTTTGCTTTTCTTGCTTGTAAAATGGTAAAGTGGTCAATAAGCAATTTCTCAAATATTTAGCTCAACACCACCCAAAAAGAAGTAATGAATATGCCCACAAAGGGGATGCAGGCAATCCATAGGCAATACAAAATTTAATAAATCAAAATTTACCACTATCAGTTTTTAAAAGTTGATTATAATACAGTGAATGACATCACTTGATCAGCAGCTAATGCCCGGGCTACCAATGCTCATCTTGCCTCAGGTATCATTTAAGCAATAAATCCTAACAAGGTGCACTTTATCATCCCACAGTGTGTCTCTAGCAGGAAAGGACACAAGGTGATAGCAAAAACCACGAGGAACAAGGTAATTCCTGACAGCTGCTGCTTGAGCACAAGTTAAATTGAACAGTTTATCTCAGCATGAAGATGTTACAAGGTTTTATGTTTAATATTTTTAAATTAACATAAAACCCCGAGAAAGCAGTTGAGCAATCTTTCACAAACATGACATACTACAATCACTGTATAAGCTGGATTAGTACTTATTACCATGCTACTACAGAATTAAGCTGTTTTTAGACCACCAAAGAGCTTTAAATTGCAACTTTTGTCTCTGAAAGAGAAACCTATATTTTAAATGTCTGCTAAATTCAAATTAACGGCTACATCATTAGCTTACCATTTCACCAAAAGTACAAGTAAGCTGCTACTATAATCGTCTAACCAAAATGGCTCTATGCTGCAAGCACATTAACACCATTCCATGTATTTGGGAATAGGACCTGTATACATGTTTCGATTGCTTCCAATATACATTGTAGCTACATTTTAAGTCATATACCTTTAAGGAATCCAAAACAGTGAAACACAATGAAATTCAAAATTAAATATTTTATTCTTTTCTGCTCAGTTTGAATAAATCAGTTGTTTGCCTTTTACCCTATTTACTTAATATGTAAAAAGAAAAGCTGAAATATACCTAAGGACAGTAGTAGTGTGACCATCACCATCAAGATACACACTTTTATATCTTGAATGGTACAGAAGGGAAGTGAAATGAGTTAACAGAGGGCAAGCATTCAATATTCCAGCCACTGTCCATACATTTTAGTAATGATTCTTCATGGGCTAGGTCATCTCACTCTTGCCCCATGAAATCTTTTCAATAGGCACCCCTCCTCTCCTGAAGCTATTTATGACATAATGAGATAGAGTATACAATTTAACACAGATGCCAGTTTGGGCTGTGTTACCACTCATACACAGTTTCTTGCATGGCTTCAGGAGGCCTCTGACAAAAGAGTAAATTCTTCCAGCTTTGTCACTTTGCTCAATACCTAAACTCTTGGTCTAGATTCATGTTGCTAAGACTTATTACCTAAGCCTCAGTTCTTTCATTGTTTCTCGTGGGTTCCTGTTCCTTGATACCTACTCTCTAGGATCCTAGATCCTGTATTTTCTGTGATGCAGTATTTTCTATGATGATGAAAATGTTCTATATCTGTACT